ATGGGCTACACCAGGAAACAAAACAGACACCTTTGCCCTCATGGAGTTTACATTCTAGCAGTGGAAAGAAGTAACAAACGATAAGCATAAGTAAATGATGTATGTTAGGAAGTGATAGAGGGAAAAGAAAAGTAGAGCAAAGTAAGGAAAGCTGATGAGTAGGAAGTAAAGAGGGTTGCAAGTTAAGATGAGACAGGGTAGGCCTCACTGAGAAGGTGACATCTGAACAGAGACATGAAGGAGGTAGGAGTCAGGCATGCTCTAAGCCTTAGACCAGGGTTTCTTGACCTCAGCGCTATGGACATTCTGGGATTTTGTTGTGGGAGCTGTTCTATGCGTTGTAGGCTGGTTAGCAGTATCCCTGGCCTCCACCACCAGTTGTCAGCACCCCTGCCTGAGTCATGACAATCAAAAAGTCTCCAGACATTGCCACAGGTCCTATGGGGGACAAAATTGCTCCTGGTTGAGAACCACTGCCTTAGAGGACAGTGTGTCCTAGGCAGAGGGAAGCCTTGGGAGTGTATGTGGTGTGTTTGAAGAATAGTAAGGAGGAAAGCGTGGTTGGGGCAGAGTGAATGAGGGGAAGAGTAGTAGGTGAGGGGTGAGAGACAAGGGGAACTTGGCTTCTTTGGCTTTTACTCTGAACGAAATGGGGAACCACAGCAGAATTTTGAGCAGATCAGTTTTCATTTTAAAACGATCACTTTGACTGCTATTTTGAGAATAGACTGAAGAGAGACAAGGAGACCAGTTAGTAGTTAATATTATAGTCATCCAGGCAAGAGATGGCGGCGGCTTGCACCGGGACAGTAGAGTATAGTTGACGAGCAGTGGTCAGATTCTTGATGTCCTTTGAAGGCAGCACAACAGAATTTCCTGATGGATTGGTTGTGGGGTGTGTGTAACAGAGACAGGTTTCAAGGAAGTCTTTGGCATGAAAAACCTAATGGGGAAAGTTTTGGGTGAAGCAGGTTTGGAAAGATCAGAAATTGGGTTTTGGACATGTTGAGTTTGAGATATTTATTAGACCTCCAGGTGGGGATGGGCAATAAGCAGTTGGATATGTGAGTTGAGTTAGAAAGTTGAGTTGGGGCTGAAGATGAAAATCTGAGAGTCATTGACATACAGACAGGATTTAAAGCTAGAAGACTGGATGCCTTCCCCCTAGGGGAGTGAATCCTGGCCCTCCAACATTAAGAGGTCAGAGAGAAGAGGAGAGGTCAGCAAAGGACACTGAGAGGGAACAACCATAGAGGTAGGCCAGTGTCCAGGGAGCCAAGTGAAGAAAATGTATCGAGGAGGAGAAAGTGATTGGATATGTAAAATGCTGCTGATAGATAGGGACAGAGAATTGACTGTTCTCTGGGACTTGTGGAAGCCGGGGTATAACAGAACTCTGTGGCCTGGATGACCAACATCATTAGCAACCATAAAGTAAACCTCTGACTTCGTAACTAATGGAGATTTGATCATGGAGAGATGCATATGGGCCATTTACTCAGGGGTCAGGCGAGATCTAGAATCTCATCTCAAATCCACCACTACAAACAGCTTCATGACTTTGGGCAAATTCCTTACTCTCTTTTTGAATACATAATGTGGCTTAAAATATGTATACTACCTACTTTGCAAGATTGCTGGGTGGATCAAGTGAGATGATATATGTAAAAGTGGCTTTGAAAATTATAATTTGATGGAAATAACGAAAAAGGATGTGCTCTTGTTTATAACTCAAGAATGGATTGATTTTTAATGGAGGGTGATATTTTTAAGATCATAGACTTAAATTTTGTTATGATCTTTTGTTTTTAACAGTTAAAATGCTGAGATAGTGTTCATTGTACCTGATAGGTAGGTTTTTACCCCTTCCCTCTGCCTCCCACTCCCCTTCTTAATTTCCTGTGACCTTTACATCTCTTTGTGCCTATTTGTGCCCATCGATTAGCTCCCAATTATTGGAGAATACATGTGGTGTTTGTTTTTCCATTCCTGAGATACTTCACTTAGGATAACGGTCTCCATTCGGGTGATGGGCACACTAAAAGCCTGACTTAAGCATTGTGAAAGGTATCCATGTAACAAAAACATTTGTAACCCCTTATCATTTTGAAATTAAAAAAATTCTTTGTAAAAAGGCTGAGATAATTTGATAAAAATGCTTTAACTAACACAGTATTCAGAAGAATATCACTGTCAAGCTTGCATAGGAAACAGCACACTGTAAGTTTGGGTAAATATGTTACCACTTTGGCATCTAAATTTAATATGAGTCACGGAGAGTTTTACAGATAGAATTCTGCTTACTTACTGATAATCTGTTAGTGAGACATGAAGTTAAGTAACTCATGGACCCACATTTGCAATCCATGACTCAATGTAACCACTGTCTGCCCTGTAGGGTATAGAATTTAAAAAATCTTGTCATATGTGGTTTGAGAAGCAAGCTGAGTGTCAAGGCAGTGTAGCATCTGGGCAGGCCAGAAATATCTGAAAAGGTCATACACTGAAGCATTTACTTTGCGAAGAAGCCAATTTTAATCAAGGCCATGTGATACACACGATAAAGTTAGTTACCTCTTCTGATGATTCTAGCTCCAAGCGAGACTCAGGCTTCATTTCAATGAGTTTAGAGAGAAGATCTCTTTCTCTCCCAGAGACGGACTGCTCTTCCAGCAGAATAGCACTGATGCTTTGGTCAAGTTCACTGTCCCGGGAAACTGCTGACATCCGCAGTGTGATGGAGAATGCGTCCCTGAAATATGCCTTCAGTCCCTGGCCGAGGAAGAGAAGGTGAGAGGGCAGATCAGGAGGACTCTCAGGCAACTGCTATTAAAGCCTGAAATTAATAGTTGAAAGGAAAATGGGCCTTGAGATTTTTCATTCTCACTTGTCCTCACCATGGGCTATTATTGTCATCAGCAATTCGGGTGGGGTTTTTAGATTGACAATTAGATATCCACAGAGAGCTGAGATGCTGTTCTCATAGGAAGACCACTTCTGTAAAGAGTGGTGCATGCATTTTGTCACATGCTGCCACAGGAATTTTGATGAGGAAAGTCTTCCTGGCCAGACAGTAGGAACCAAAGGTCACCAATAGGACTCAAGCAGTTTTGAAATGTTGCAGAGCTTAAGGCATTTTTCTGGGGAATGGGGTCTGAGTCACAGAGAAAGAGAAGCAAAACTCCCTGTGCATGTTATAAATACCTCATAAAATGACCTCAGAAAGGCAGGGTTGGAGTCCTGGTGGATGTCCCCGGCAGCAATGTGGGCCAGGCAGTGAATCAACAGCAGAACGAAGTTTCCCACAGATGCCAAACACTCTCTCCCAATAAACAGCGTGTTTTCAGCACTCTGGAGAAAATATCCAAGCACAGAGAGTCAACCTCAGGGAACACTTCCACTGCTTCTTTCTTTTTCTAGGTTTATGGTATATGGTCTAAAATAAAATTCTCTGGGCCTAAGGGAAATTTACCGAAGGGAAGATTCAGATTACCAGGGAAGAATCACTGTTTCAGTTCAACTCTCTGAATAAGTCATTTTCTCTACTTTATCCCAATTTTCCCTGCTACCTCCATCTTATAGAAAACAAACTATTAGAAATTCAGGCCAAAATTACTCATGTATCTTTACTGTGTTTTATCAATGTCCTACAACTACTGTTTCCTTAAGCAGTGGTTCTCAAACTTTCATGTAATAAGAATCACAAGGGAGATTCACTCCATCGTTCATTCTCTTAAGAGGCAGTAGGTTGGCAGGGAACAACCTTAGGTAATTTGGAATCAGACAATCTGAGATCTGTCCCTTGAGTCAGCTGTGGGTGGTAGCACAGACTAATGATTAAGAGAATGTTTTTGGTTTCAAATATATCTGAACTTGAGTCTCAACTCTTGCTAACACTGTGATCTCGGGGAAGTTAGATAGTCTGGGCCTCAATTTCCTAATTCACGAAATGGAGATAACAATAGCACCTACCCCATAGTGGTGGCGTAAGTTGTAAATGAGATAATGCATGTGAGGCATCTGACACGCAGCACTCAGTGAACCCTGAGTTTGTTTGCCCATCTGTAAAGTGGGATTAAATTTTTTTTTTTTTTGAGACAGAGTCTCACTCTGTTGCCTGGGCTAGAGTGAGTGCCGTGGCGTCAGCCTAGCTCACAGCAACCTCAAACTCCTCAGCCTCCTGAGTAGCTGGGACTACAGGCATGCGCCACCATGCCCGGCTAATTTTTTCTACAAATTTTTAATTGTCTGATTAATTTCTTTCTATTTTTAGTAGAGACGGGGTCTCGCTCTTGCTCAGGCTGGTTTCGAACTCCTGAGCTCAAACAATCCGCCCGCCTCGGCCTCCCAGAGTGCTAGGATTATAGACGTGAGCCACCGCGCCCGGCCTGGGATTAAATTCTTGCCTGTTTCATGGAGTTGCTTTGAGGATCAGGTGAAATCATTCCTGGAGAGTACCACATATGAGTATTTTGGCCTTATTAAATCCCCTAACAATCTACCAGTCAAGTGTAAACTGTCTTCTAATCCTCCCACATTGACTAGCAGTCCCTCCTCTCAGAATTGTGGACCAGCGGACTGTCATTAGTGTTTAAGGTCTATATACACCATCTTAGAGTTACCAGCAAGGTACTTCCAATTTACATATTTAAGGAACTACCAGGACAGTAACGAATTAGACTCTTTTCTGTAGAAAGATGCTGATAGTGCAGGATTTCCCAAAGCTGGAACCATGACTCTTACGAGAAATACCAGTTTGGAACCACTGGCTCTGATAATGACAGAGATCTATTAATGGGCACAAAGCCATCATGCCTCTCTGGGCATGAACCAGGACATATTCATTTCACTGATTAGAGAAAGCTCTTACATGGTGACATTTATTATGCTTTAGCTAAATGATTTATTTCCAAAGGGGAATTAAATATGTCAGGATTTCAGAAAAAAATGTTTTATACGATTTGTTCTTTTTGCTTTTGTTTATCTTTACCAGACCCTAGAATTTTATAACCCGCCTCTGGGAATGAATTTGCAGCACCTGATAGAAGAAGGAGCCTTGGAAGGCATTGCCTGAGGCTTCCGTGGCAGGAAGACGGGAAGCGATCTGCAGGGTGATTTCTGGAGCCTGAAGAGAGTGAAAAACAAACAGAAACAATTTTATCCTTTTGCTAAAAAAAATTCTCATGCAAAAAAAATTCCCATGTATCAGCCAAATTGATGGGAAGTAAATGCATTGGAGCATTGATTTAAATTGTAAAAAGATAAGTAGATTCAGCATACACTACAGGAAAATGGAAAGAGTATTTAGGTATTTAATATTTATGCTAACTATGACAATCAATTTACTACTTTTCTAAATAGAGGTGGACTAGACTGGCAGTCAGGCATGACAGCTCTCGAGATTTAATGCCTGGATTCTAACTGTGGCTCTCTGCCTTTTTGGCTGTGTGATCTTGGGTAAATTTGCTCAACCACTCTGTGTCTTTTCCGCTCAATTTTGAAATAGGAGAAATAACAATATCTGTGTCTTAGGTTTTTGTGAGGATTAAATGAGTTAATTCATGCATATCATTAGAACATTTTTTGGCATGTAGAAAGTGCTTAATTCATTCTACCTATGATTAATATCATTTGAAAGATTAGACTTTGAAAGGAGAGACTGGAGAGTTCACTGCCCCAGGTGCTTAATCTTAGGGAAAATCCACCACCTCAAAGCCTCCTTCCTGGCCACCCTGACCTTCTTGGCTGCACCCCCACAGAGAGGCCAGAACCCAGACTTACGTGGAGCTGGGGGATGAGGAGCTGCAGGAGGGAGAGACCATACTGGTAAACCACAAACTCCCTGGCAGAAAGGTCTGTGGGTAGCATAGTTATCAGCTCTTCCTTCTGCACCGTCTGAGGTTTTAGGAGATCCTGCAAACAGCTTTTTGGGTCTATAGAGATCAAGAGAAACCAGTAACAATTTCACTGACTTTTAGGTATAGTTATGATATGTTACAACAACAAAATAGCTTAGGGAAAGGTTATTTCCAACAATCCATCCATCCATCCATCCATCCATCCATCCTCCTGTGCTATATGTGTATTGTGCCTCAGGCTCTCCTGCCTTTCTTTAAGGAAAAATGATTGAGTTTCAATTAACAGGAATAGAGGAGCCAGGACAGAATGAGGGTCCAGAAAAGATGGCAGCAGATTTTCTTCTATTTCATTGAGTTGTTTGGAGCATGAAATGTAATACACTCAGAACAGCGTCATGCACACAGTAAGCACTCAGTAAGTGTTAGCTGTATTAAGAACTTCCTCACAATATTGTCTCTAATGGGCCTTGAGTATTTAAAAATTTCTATTGTCTTTTTATTCATGAGAGGACGATAAAAATGGCAGGGGTAGCAAGGTACAGGAAAGACTACGGAACCAGCAGTCGGCACACCTGTGTTCTGGGTCCGGTTCTGTAAGGCCCTGAGAAAGTCACTTAACTTATTTCAGCATCAGTTCTCTCATCCATACAAATGTAATTAACAATCTTCTACTTTCTTATAGAATTAGAGTAGGGTTTCCAGGTGTAACAAAAAAATGTATAAAAACTTGCTTTCAAAATTATAAGGTCAATATAAGTGTCACACAGAGAAGGTTGAAGTGGGGATGAGAACTCTTAAAGGAGGGCCCATGTCAGCTCATCTTCTTCTTAGTTTCCCCCAAAGGGAGAAGGAATTAATAATAGGTCAAGTTCTGGAGTCAGTAAACTTTTTCTTTAAAGGGCCAGATCATAAGTATTTTAGATTTTGCCAGCCAAGAGCCAAAACTGGGGTTAGGAGTTAGTGTTCTCTGTCATCATAGTAGAAGTGTGGCCTTGTTCTTCTACAAAATCTTCTCTTGCTTCTCTGGGAACCCTGGGATCTACCCTCCTGGGGACTCACTGGAATGTGTTGCCTGCATCTCTCTCTGGGCACTGCCCCTATGGTGTTGGATAATTTTTCATATGGGGAAGCAGGTCAGGAGCACAGCCTCCAGGGAAAGCCTCCCTGGGACTGAATTCCAGCAGAATTGCTCCTCAGCTATATGATCTTTGACTACCTACTTGACCTATCCAGAAGCTTCAGTTTCCTCATCTGTAAAATGAGTAATGGTACCTACTTTACTAGGTTGCTGTAAAGATGAAATGAGTTAATATGTACAAAGATTTAGAATAGTATGTGGCTTATTGTAAAGCACACCATAAACATTTCATTCCTCTTTTGACATTATTTCCCTGATCATTTAAAAATGTAAAACTATTCTTAGCTCATGGGCCATACAAAAATAGGTGTAGGCTGGAGTTGGCCTGTGGGCCATAGTTTGCTGATCCCTGCCAAGTTCAGGGATGTTCACGGAGCTATGCTTACTAGGGGCCTGCATCATGGTCCACTGAAAGGCGCACACCTGTTTTCTGTTACTTCTCTTCCATTTGGGAGGCAGGTGAAACATAAACTGGCTGTTCAGGGCAATGCAGCCACATTCTCTCTTGACTTCCAATTCCACAGGGTGGTATTGGTAAAGTGATTTGGGGTCCCTTTGGGGGGCAAGGTCTTCTTTTTTTGATGTTTCCTCTGTTTCTCTCCCTGTGTCTCCCACTTTCCCATTAACTCCTTATGACATGTGGCTGGCTGGTATGGGGTAAGAGCCCAAGATTTAGATTCAGTGTTTGGTGGGAAGGTAGAAGACCTTCAGGAATTCCCTTTTGGAACTTGCCCAAGTTATAATTATAATGGTACTTTGATTCCTATTTGTTTTTCTTTATATGGAAAAATCACTTGGGAATCTTAGCATAGGGGTGGGGAGAAAGAGATGCTTGGGAGGCAGGATTTTAACAGTCCTAGTTCCTGGGGGTTATACCATCACATTCCTTTGGTACCCATGATAATTCCAGACAGGGCTACCAGGGAAAAGGAGGTTACCGGGTTTATGAGGCTCTTGTCTTTGCAATTCAGCTTCTTCCTTGTGGGCTTGGGACCAGATGTCTATCTTCTTCAAGATGGATGGCGAGGTCCAGGTGATATCAACTTTATCTGCATCTGGACAGATGGAATAAAGTAGTTATTGGAGTGCGGTCATAGGGGAATGGGCAAAGCCAAAAAGAGCCAGATAAAGCATCACGTTTGACAGGCAGCCTCTGAGATGGCCCAGTAATCCTCCCATATGTATCTATCTATGCCCTGTGTAATCCCTTCCACTTGAGTGTGGGTTGGATCTAATGATTTACTTCAAATGAAGAGAACATGGCAAAAGTGACAGGATGTCACCTCTGAGATTAAGATACGAAAAGACCGTGGCTTCCATCTTGCTGCCCTCTCACATTCTCTTGCCTGCTTGCTCTGAGGGAAGCCAGCTGCTGTGTTGTGAGTTGCCCTACAAAGTCCATGGGGCAAGGAATTGATGTCTCTGCCCAACAGCCAGCGAGGACTGAGGTCTGCCAGTAGCCACGAGAATGAGCTTGGAAGTGAATCTTCCCCCAGGCAAGCCTTGAGATGACTGCAACCCAGGCCAACACCTTGACTGTAGCCTGTGCAAGACCCTGAGTCAGAGGCACCCAGCTAAGCTGCACCCAGATTCTTGACCCAAAGAAACCATGAGAAAATAAATATTTGTCATTTTAAGTCATGAAATTTTGGGGTAATTTATTACTCAGCAATAGTTAACTAATACATTGGGTTTCTCTATGTTCTTCCTAAAGAATCTACTGTGGCTATACTCCTACGGTACCTGAAATCCTAATTGTAGTATTAGGACTTATCAAAGCATGACCATGTTTGGCAGCAGAAGGAGACATTGGGATAGTGACTACCTTACCTGTTCCCAGCCTCTGATCCTCCAGCCCTGGGCCGTGGCCTTGAGCTCCTGCTAGCACTGCAGTGAGGTGCTTCAGGAAAGGGATCAGCAGCGGGCAGGCAGCAGCCTGGCCCCTGAGAGAAGTGGTGCCTGTCCCGTAGAATATGTCTCCAGGGTAATTCTCCAAACACACCGGGGTTCCTGAGGCAATAATCTAGGATGAAATAGTCAGAACTGAGTTCTGTGCTTGGTTCTCACCTATCCCATGTGGCTGCTTTGGGAGTTCCTCTCTGAAGCCCCCATCCAAAATGGAAACTCGGATCTGGGCCAAGTCCAGAGGTCAGTACCTGGGTGTGCAAGAGCTGGAGGCGGCTCAACTCCCGTCGGTACTGCAGCTGACCGAGGGCCCTATCCAGGAAGTTCTGTCTCTCCCTCACCACCTCCTGAAACTCATCCGAGAGATGCTGAACCACCTGGAGCACAGGGAACGTGGTGCTCACATTCACAATGGACCTTCTTTCTCTTTCCTCTTGCTCCCCTCCCAAGCCTGTCCACTGTTCCTTGAGCCCACCTAATCTTGATTATTGCATTGCCCGGAAGAGCCACATCTGATGACATGGGAGGATGCGCTCATTGCATATAGGGCCCCCGAGCAGCCTAAGAGCCTCACCTTCCTGGGACGGTTCCAGACCTGTGGGCTCTGGTTCCTACTTTTCTGCAGCCACATCTCCTCCTCCTGGCTCTGCAGCCTCCCAGCTGCTTGCTTGAGCTTTTCTGCTGCCTGCCTTAAACTCTGCAGGACCTTCCGCATGCCCAGCACCACCTGCGCCTCCTGTTCCCACTCCTCTCTGTCTGCTGCAAAGGGCAGAGAGAAGGGCCACATGGCAGTGGCCATGGCCAGGGGTAGGGAGGAAAAGACAAGACAGGAGTTTATTGGAGCCAGGGGAACTGCCAGGTTAAAGGGCTTGGCCGGGAGCCCAGGGGAGATGACCAGAGAAAGCAGGAAGGAGGAGCTCTCTGCTGGGCAGCTGTGGATGGTGGCATCACTCCCAGGAGATTTCTGCTGTGGGATCTGGGCCTAGGAGATGCTTTCCCACCTTGCGAGAGCAGGACCCGCTCTGGGCCGCTGTGTGTGCTCAGGGCTCTGGCTCTCCTCTCGGTCTCCCGCAGGCAGCAGGACTCTAGGGCCTGGCAGGCCTCCTCGGCAGCCCCCAGCTAAGTAGGACAGAAGGCACAGAGGAATGGGCCTCAGAGGGAGAGGCAGGAGCCCTGGGCTGGGCCACCTCATGACGGCCCCTTCTGTCCCCAACTCCATCCTGCTGAGACTGGTAGGGGTGGCTG